TAGGTGCCATCACGACTCGTGACTTTGGGTCGTGACAACTGTATTTTACCAAAAACTTGTGTAGTTGAGTTTTGTGTCCTCTCTTTATCAAATAAGTAGTACTTCATCATATCTAGTTTTACTCGTATCGACTTGTCACATCTTTTATCGATCAATAAATTAAATAATAAAATTTTATTTTATTATTTTTTTTAATTTTTTATACTAAACAAATAACTATAAATATATGTTTTTAATATAGTAAATAAGTAAAAATTTATATAGGGAAAATGTACAAGTACCCCCTCAATCTATGCCCGAAATTCCAAAGACACACTTATACTATACTAAGGTCCTATTACCCCCCTGAACTTACTTTATAAGTAATTTTCTACCCCTTTTCGACCTACCTGACACTAGCTTGAAAGAAAAAGTCAACCAGTGTTGCGCCCACAAGATAGTGCCACGTAGGCCGAAAAGGGGTAGACAATTATTAATAAAATAAGTTTAAGGGGTAATAGGACCTTAGTATAATATAAGCGTATCTCTGAAATTTCGGATATAGATTAATGGGGTACTCGTGCATGATAATAGTGAGCTGTCATGAGAAGAAGTAGTACTACTATATTAGTAGTAGATAGAAATGAATCGAACGGCCAATATGAATGCATTGATGATTCAGTGTAGCAGTTGGCATTGATTTCCCACACCATTAATGGCCTCTCTTTGAATTTAATATTTCCACCTAGCTCTTTCAAGTAATTTGCCATTTGTTTTCAAACTAAAATGTATCTACTTTTTTTTAATTTTAGGTGGTTGTTTACTGGTATAATTTTGAGTAAGTAAGCATCTATTTATTTTTATTAACTATTTTTAAGTGTTGTTTCTAGTTATGTAAGAATTAGTTATGAGTGAATTAACTATTTCTATCTTTTATTCTATATAAAATAATAATATATTGCGAGTAATAAATATCGGTTCATTTTTAGTTGTCTAATATTACCTTGTTAAAATTCGTCTTTTGATAGCTGGTTAGAGTTATGCGAATATTAATAATGTAAGAATTAGTTATGATGAAACTTATGTATTATTTTTTATGCATATATTAGTTATGTATGTATTAGTTATTTAATCTTCTTTCTAAAACATAAAATAGGAAAAAAAAATTTGGCCAGAAAATTTGGTCAGAATGATATCTTTTCTATGTTATTTCACCTTTTAAAATATTTTACCCTTTTAACAATAGTGCATTTTAACTAAAAAAAAAGAAAAAGGATCAGTTTATTTTAAAATTAAAAAGATACTACAATTTTTTTAAATTTTCTGATCATTTAGCACTTCCTCATAAAATAATACATCGAACCTCTCATAAACTATTTAATTATGTAGGTTTTTAAGATATCAACCAAATGTTTGATTTAATTCATACATGACCAATTTATTCTTATCTATCTATCAAATATTGTATAAGCTATACAAAAATTAATAAAGAAATAATTTATTTCTCATCCAGCTACCAAATAACCCTTTACATAGTAATAAATGAAATGTTTAAAAAATACATTAAAAAATGAATATCTATTTTTAATATCGTGGACCAGTAGATTATACTAGTAGTGAGTAGTGCTATATATATATATATATATTGGAGTTGGACACTCAAAACAAGGCCAAGTAGAATAAGCCACATAGATAAAAGGTTTTGTTAATGTCCTAAATAGAGAGTAAATTTTTGTTAGTGTAGTTTGTGTCTGAACTCAAATGGCTGTGGTTGGTCCTCTCTCTGTGATTTTCAACCTTCTTCTCTCTTTACTTGTATGCCATCTCCATTTCACCATTCTCATTCAAGGTACCTTTTTTTTTTTTTAATTATTTTCTCTTATAGTAGCTAGGGATTTGAATTTCATTTTCCATGTTTTTTTCTTTTTAAAATTCCCTTTTTTAATAATCAATTTATCATCCTCATCTTTGTAATCCACCACCTTTTCTTGCAATTCTTCAAGATCACTTCTACTAATCTATTAGAGATCCACACACTTAATTAAATTGCATCAAATTTGTTGTTTAAATCAAAGGTTTCTGATAATTTTCGTTCGTTTCAATTTAAGTGTTATATTTTTCTTTTCTTTTTAAGAAAATGTCTTTTTCTTTTGTGTATTTATGAAGTGTGTGGTCATATCATCTGAATAAACCGTTACATGAGATAATCATATACTATTATAATTTTTTTAATTTAATTATATATTAAAAAATATTGAATCTGCAGGAAGCGGAGGTGAAGGGAGATGGGAAGATAAGTATCCATTTATAAGAGAAGCAAGTAGATTTGATGATTATAAAAATTCATATGATTATATTATAGTTGGTGGTGGAACAGCTGGTTGTCCTTTAGCAGCCACATTATCAAAAAAATTCAAAGTTTTATTAGTTGAAAGAGGTGGAGTTCCATTTACAAATACAAATGTGTCATTCATGCAAAATTTTCACATCTCTCTTGCTGACACTTCATCTACTTCTGCTTCACAATTCTTCGTTTCTACCGATGGGGTTTTTAATTCTAGAGCTAGAATTTTGGGTGGAGCCACTTGTATTAATGCTGGCTTTTATACTCGCGCTGGTCCCAGGTACGTTTTATTTTACCTGATTCATATATTTTAAAAAAAAATAAATTCAATGTATAGATTGAAGCGGACAGACAAACGATGAAATATCAAAAATAATTTGAAATATAAAATTTAATGAAACGTGTCAAGTCAATATGAAACAACTGAGTACATACACTACATTACTTGTCTTGTTATGGATTTAATTTTTATTGGTGAGCCGCAGAAGTTATCATTTATAGTATTTTTTAGTGAAGGTTATAAAAAAATTTGTTATATAACTAGTGGATTAATTTGTTATAATATAGGATAACTATTATCGAAAGGAGAGTACTTC